CGGAGGCCCTTCACTGGTGCTGTGTTCTGCAGGTATCGGTCTCCAGATAATGCCGAACGCTGCTCGGAACTAGTGCAATTAATTAGGAGGTTAATTGTGTGGCTTTCGATGCCTCCTAGTGATTTTTTTCAGTTTTGATTGTTTCGATCCACAGGTGGGAGCCATTTGTATTTCAGCAAAGGGTCCTGCAGCAAATTAGCAGTGCCGAGTGGAGGATAATGAAAATGTCTATAAGAAAGTCCCACTGTATTGCCACAGCTTTTGTAATTTCGGTTAAACTGCATGTCTTCTCCCAGTGAAAAAGTAATTTGGCAAGAAAAAACTTCAGAGGTGTGTTTTATCTGGGTTTTTATTCATGTCCATCACTGTGATACCAGTGACCATCCTCTGCAGTAAAGACTCCACCCGTACCAATGTCATAGAACAAGTCGGTGCCCCCATCTCGGGCAGGAGGGGTTATTCCAGAGTTTGCCATTGTTTGCCTGGTTGCTGGTTACACCGTGAGTAAAGTAGAAGCTGTGAAGTGGGAGGTAATGTTGAACTGGGGGCAGATGATAAACATTCAAGCCTAGAATGATGTTGGAAAACATCCTTTGCTCTTGGCCGAGCAAATGTCTTTTAACTTCATGTATGTTAATTCCTAATTTTAGAAACAAGCATTTTGCAAAGAGTCGCAGGTTAAATAACGCATCGTTCCCTGACAGGTGACACTGTGCTGTGTTTAATGTATCATCTTGTTGCAGTCTATTTATTGGAGACAATAAGGAGAGCTCCAAACGTACATAGTGTAGCCATGCAGGAGCGACGGTTTCGTCAGCCTGAAGTTGAAGTGCGCAGGCTCAAAATCACACGCACATGCTCCACATGTTGTAATCTCAGTTTTTAAATAACCTATGTGTTTCTTTTTGTATAAACTCTCAGCTGAAACAATGCCACGCAATGTCAAAATTGCTATGCTGTCGTCACTCTGGTCAACCAGCCATTGAGCAGCTGGGTTTTATGGGAGAGTAGTGAAGCTTCATATAACATGTGCATCTCCGAGATTTTACAGACAATACTAATATTTTTCCTTTAGGCTATTAGGATTTCTACATCTGTATAAGCGTATATATGTTGACTAAAACTGAGTGTGGTGTTCAGGTTGGTCAGGACTACTGAGGTCTGTTTTAACACATCCAGTTCTCCCTGTTGGTGGTTCCCCTCTTGCTATCATCTTTCTGTCTCTTTACCTGTGACTTCTCTCCCAGGAGTACCACTGGCCCTTTATGTCTTCCTCTGTTACAGCAATCTGTGATCAGTCCCTCTCCTTGATTTTACTGGACACTTTACTTAGTAAAAACACAGAGAGTGATCTCCAACTACTGCAGACACTGGAGATAAGTGTGATTCCCTTGAAATTAAATGCTAGGGGAGAGCTTCAGGTGTTAACCATAACTGAGTAGATTTAGGAGCACTGCTGCTAGATCAGCTGAGCTGCTGGTTCCAGTTCATTTACGCTTGTTCAATGTACCCCAAGGCCAAGGTGCAAATGCACCCAGATCACAAGATGAAACGAGTGTGCCTTGTCTCAGTGTCTACTGTATGTTAGCTCATGTTAGAAAGCCACCATGTAGTTGGCCATCTTCAAGCACCTGTTGTTTCTGGGTTTTGATATCACAGCTTCCTGTCTGTTATTTCTTATCCCAAGTCTCCCACAAAGATTTATGTATTCTGTTTATTAATATATCAAAATTGTACACTATGTAGCTAGCCATCCCTTTGTTGAATGCTGATGAGAAACATTCCATGTTCCCAAAGGCTTCATATAAATAAAACCAGACAAATGCGAGATGAGGTGCAGGACAGCTGCTAACCAAAGTGTAAGATGGTTGCATCAGTGGGTGGTGATATAAAGAGTCCTCTCAAATTCCTTAGCAGTGCAGTAGAACAGGTGGGAGAGACAGCTGTTTCTTAAAAAGTTTTTTTTTATCATTTCTTTTATCATCTTGCACAATGTATCACTGAGGCCACTTTGCTTTTATTAATGTAACTCTTCGTACCTAAATCTAGCTATTTAACATTTTCACATACTGTCACCAGATTTTAGTGCTTCTGAATGCTTTAAGTTTTTCAGATATCTCTAATAGCCACTACAATATGTTTTCTGAAAGCACAGGCCACAGAATCATTCTTTCAGGAGGGAAATTTGAGGACAGAGATGTGAAAATTGTGTTGATGAGCTAGAAGCCTTGAGACATCCAGTCTGGCAAGCTGGTTTGTGAAAATTTGGTTTAGGAGTTTCTTAAGGAGCGTATCTGTTGATCTAAATCCCTCAAATTTCTCCAATCCCTCTTATTTCCTACTTGTTTTGTTTGAGAAATAGTTTTTTCTTTTTAAGTTTTAGAAGACTAGTTCTTTCTAAAAAGTATTTTTGCCTTTCAACTCTCTTTTGCCTTTCGTATCCCTTTCATAGCACTGTGCCAAACACAGCTAAATCGAACTTCTGCAAAAAGGTGAATAATAGCATTTGCCCTCATGTGTAGATTGGAAGCTTTAAGAAGGGTTACGAGCTACTCAACTCCACTGAATAGAAACTGTAACCTGTGCTGAAGTCGCAAGTCCAGCATTCAGCTTCTATGGAGTTGTAGGAGAAGCTTGCAGGAGGACAAGGTGAATACTGAGTTGTGAGAGAACATCAGTTATGATGAAAGAGTGAAAATTTTGTGTTTTGTCAGAGCCGAGGATTGAAACATGATAGGAGGTCTCCAAATATGTAAAAGTTTGCTGTGAAGAGGAAACTTTTTGGTAATCCCACCAGCAAGAGAACAGGGTTGTAACGGGGGGTTGAATAATTACATGTCAAGGAAGTCCTTCTGACTTCTAGTACGGTTAGCAGTGTTACAAAAGGCTGAAGATGCTGAATCTCTGAACTTAGAGGTTTTTAAGAACAGGTTACACAGATGCCTTACAAATTATTTAAGTGTCGTTTGCACTGCCTTTGCATACAAAGGTAAGCTCCAGAGATGCCTCCCAGACCTGTTTACCTGCAACTCTGAGTCACCGCATCACCTGTGTTAGACAGGAGATCACTGTTGGTCAGTTAGTGCCACAAACACAAGGTTAAAAGCCCTTTTGCTTCACAAGTGGAAACAGATTTTTTTTTACTTACTTACGGCAAATATTTCTACATTGTTAAATTATGCTGACCGCTCAGTTTTGTGCAAGAGAGATTCAAGGCAAGGATTACAGGTATAGGACATATTTCAGCATGTGAATGGAGACGTATGTTGAAGTTCTAATTGTCTTTTCTCATCTCATAGCTGGAATTATATAGGATATGTCCCTCTCCTTTCCGTGGGTACCAATTTTATGTTGTATCAGAGATGTGGAAAACTATTTTATTTTCTAGAAACAAGGCTTCATTCACCATTTGTTTGGAGCCAGTGTTTAAAGATGATGCTCTGTATGAGAAATTGGCTCGCTCTCTAACAAGACCAGACCTGTGGAATTCACAGCATTGACCGATCAGGTTGTGACTCATCTTTGTAGCTAATGAACTTTGCTGTTGGAATAAACGGCTAGGGCAGTGTGCCCGAGCCTGGAACACTGCTGCTCTGTCCCTCCCCTCTCAGAGTGTAGGGGGGAAAGTTGAAAAACCTTCAAAGGTGAAACAACTTCTGTATGAGGATTGGCTAAATACATGAATACTCTTCAGGCTAAAAAAAAAAGAGACAACTGAGAGGAGATATGAGAGAAGCTAGGAAATTAGGTATCTTGGAGGCAAGAACTAGGAGACATCGAACGAAAGGAACAGGTGGCAGGGTTAGAACAAAGGAGGTTCTTCCCAGAGCATGAAGTTAGACTATGGAAGGGATATCGTGACCCAAGAAACAACTGTGCAGCTTTGTGGAGAAGGAATCCCTCAAGAAGAGTTAAAGGCACAGATGGAATCTTTGTCTTAGGAGGTCTCTGGAGTACATAGAATTGTAGGCTGGGAAAGTCTCTCTACAAGCTTCCCATGTCCTTATACTTTCTGTTTTCAGTTTCATCTTCTACAGCTGCACTGTTTGTTGCATTCCCTCTGGTGAGAGTGACAGGGAAAGTTGATTATGGATTAGTGAAGAAGCCAGATCCCCGCAGTGCTGAGAAATGGCTGTGAATTGGCCTTTCTCACTGAATTTCTGGTGTGAAGCAGGGTGTCGTCGTGTCCGGGATGACTCATAACACCTCAAACGAGGGATCCACAGCACTCTATTCTTTTGCTTGTTACTGTCATCCTACACTGACCTGCTCAGCAGTGCTGCTGAGTACACCTGTCCGTCGGACACAGCCAAGAAGAGAGACCTCACCGTGAGATTCATGAATCTCTTTTGTAGCAAAGACTGTCTTTATAGAGAGCATTTTAATCATAGCAAGTCTGGAAGAGAGAAGTTCTCACTTTACCATGTAACGCAAACATGTACTCAGAAGAAGTGAGACTTGTGATACTTTCATCTGATAAACCTCAAAATAAAATAGACACAACTGCATTACAGCTGAGCTTGTACCAGCAGCGTTTGGTGATCCCTAGTGGGAAAGCTGAGTCAGGAGAGAAAATATTTTGCCTGAGAATACCATCTTTTTAAATGGAAGCTGTTTTACAAAAATAAGTATGAATGTGAGAGTTGAACTTCACTTATTTTATTCCATGATGAGGAGTTTTGGAAAGGCTAGAAATGGAGTCAGGTCTTCATAATGTTAGTGGGGTGAAGTGCTCTTCATTCTCATCTTAGCCGGAGACGATGCATCTGAGGGCTGCTTTATGGAATGGTTGCAAAAGGGAGCTCCCAAGATAAGGAGGGTTGTCTGCAATATTCACATTCTTTAGACAGTTCCATCTCCCTGGAAGAATAAAAACATGGAGGTAACTTAGTGGCTTCTATTCTTGTGACTTTTAAAGGCTTTTATTATTTGCCAGTGTCTATGAGAAGTTCTCAGATGAACACCATAAATGTGGACTGAGATCATATTTTCAGCACCTGGCAACACTGTAGGGTTTCTGCGGTACTTTAGAAAACATGATCGTGGCACTGAATGAAGGCTGATTTAGTTTTTATGTATATGTAACTATCATCAGTAGACAAAATAATGAAAGCACACCATCATTTGCTCACCCCACAACAGCCGCAGCAGTTGCAGTCCCCGCAGATTGTTCCAAACAGGCCATTCACCACCTGAATGCCACAGAGCACTGCCTGGATCCCGCTCATGATGAGCAGCAAGGAGAAGAGGGTCAGGTTCCACGGGATGATGTTTTTGGGTGACTGACACGTGCTCCACAGTGTGTGGTTACCGAGGTAGTTCCTGGGAGAGGGGGGAAACAAAGCAGTTACAGAGAAGCCAACGTTAGCTCGCAGAGAGGGGGTCTGTCACGGCTGACAAGTTGTCACTGTCGTGATGTCCTGTTGGCTTCAGTACTGCGAGAAGTAATTCCCATTATCACGCTGGTGCTGCTTATGTAGAACGTGATTTCGTTTGAATTTTTAGATCAATTGACGCCATCGATTTGAAAAGACAGGGCATCAGAAGGGAACAGTTGGAGCGGGAATGTGTTAGATACAGTTGGGCGGTTCCTGGTATTTTGGGAAGAAGAGATCTTAGCCAACCATGTGCCAAACGGATATTCGTCCATACTGATGTCTTTTGTTGAAAGCGTTTGTGCTCCTGATGTTGTGGTTCTCTGCAGGACGAGGCAGTGCTGACATCTGGCAGAACGTGGTACACCCACAAAGTGAACCCTGCAGACATGGGACTCACAGGGGCTCCTTGGGAGTGGGGCACCTTCTGTAACTCCTTGGCAGAAACCCAGGGGCCGGGCGAGAAGCGCTGTCTACCCCTAAATATTTCTCTTAATTTACTATATTACATTGTAATGAAAACAAAGCAAGTGAGTTATCTAAACAATGTGGTAAAAGATGAATAAACTCAGTTTTCCTAACAAAACTCAAATGCTACAAGACCAGTCGCCTCTTGCCCTCTGAGCGGAAAAGAACAACCTTTGCTGTTCTAGATGCCTCATCTAAAGAACAGCAGTATTAAGCAAAAGTATAGTTTACTTTCACATTTTGATTTAATTGTGAACTGCTTAACTGCTTACTGTATTTCCTCTGCATATTCTTAATCTTGTTTTGTTTCTTGTGTTACCAAGTGATTCCTTGACTGCAACTAAAATTGTGTTTGAAACAGAGCATATTTTTCCAAATGCTCCCAGAATTAGACCAAAGCAGTTGGTTTCCAGCCCTCACTGGCCCATGAACAAATAATGTGTAAGATACAATTACTGATCTGTAGTTTTGTTGTGTATTACATAAGAAATGCTACTAGGTCCCTCTGGGCTGGGGAGGACTGGATAAAAGATTCTCAGGTGGTGAGGGCTTTACTGCCGCCCTTGTCGGTCTGTCCTGCTTTCCTTGGTAACACATCGTACCCTGTTTTCAGTTGGGCCTTTGCTGACCTCAGCCCCGAGCAGTTGGATTGCTATGGTTTCGTGTTCTTCACACCACCTCTCTGGAAGTGATCAACAACATGACAGCAAACACGTTTGAGTTGCAGGGCGTGAGGAACAGACAACTTCCAAATGCCATAACCCAGGTAAAATGACACATAGATCCTAATTATTTGAGTAGTATCGAATTTCGATATAAGATGTCACTGCTCTTCATCTAGCTGGAATTTATCCCCGTATACTGCGTCTCATCCCAAGAATAACCTAGAAGGCTGTGCTTTTCTCTTTATTGGCTCCTTTGAAACTCAGTAGTTTTGATTGTATTTGCTGTGCTTTACATCTGGGCTCGAGACTCATTTAGTATTACTGTGCATAGCTGGCTCTTCTAAGAGCTTCTGTATTTTAGACAAACAGTGTAATTCCCATTTTTATACAACGGCTTTGGAAGTTAAATCATATCACAAACTTAAAACATGTAGAACTTTTTTTTCTGATTGTCTTGCCTTACCCGTCGTGGAAAGGATAGGTCCACTCTGTTCCAGTGTGACATTTAGGGCCTCTGTTTAGGGCTACTGCTGACAAAACAAAGCAGTATCCAGCTCCCAGAACTCCAACTGCAGCAAATATTATAGAAGAAAACATCTGATGAAAAGAAAAATAATGTTATTTTTGTTCTCATTCAAACAATGAAATACACCTTATTAACATGAATGTACATTGTCTAAATTCAGCTCTTGAAGTTCAAAATAGTCAACTCCTGAACAGCTAAAATATATTAGTTTGCCATTACCTAATATACGCATAATGCATAGCTGCACTGGTATTGAGAAGCTTTAATGGAACTCGCGCCGCTTGCCTGCAGGCGGGGGGTGGGTGCTGACACAGCAGGTGGCACTCCTGCCCTTCGGGCAGCGTCCGGCCGATGGGCCTCGCTGTGCTCCAAGGCCCTGGCTTTCACTGGAGTGGGTGTTTCTCAAGGGATCAGAAACAAGACTGAAGTCTTGGACCACTCAAGGCATTAAAAAAAACCCTACAGTACCCTTTACAAGTTGGCTTTGGTGTCTTGGTCATATTTGGACCAAGTAATTATTTTTTTCCTTCCCAAGTCTCTCGTTCAGGTTTCATATTAGCATACTTTGTCTCCTCGCAGGTACTTGTCATCATTAGCTCTAATAGTGCAGTTGGAATGGATTGGGAAGGACGTCTCTATTTTGCTGGCTTTCCGTTACAGCGTTTTCACGTGTACCGATCCGTAAGTAAATCATGCAAATCTAATACCCGGCTTGATTCTGAAGCACTGTAGCCATAATAGTTGGTAGGGAGAGGTGTATTGTCTTTTATGGCATCAAAGCGATACCGGCGGAGGAAAAAAACAAAGGTACTTTCGGGTCTGTGAGCTTTTATTCAGACCTCACCACGAGACTTGCTGTGAGTGTTGACATGCGTTTTTATGTTGGTATATCTGATGGGGCTATCTTAAACATTATGCTTATGTAGAACATGTCCTAATAACAGTGTTTCTGCTAACATACAAGAACAAATTCAGTGGATTAGGTGACCTCCCGAGATCTCTTCCAACCTGAAGTTTCCTATGCACCTAGTGAGATACTCACAGCCCATTCTGTAGGTCTGTAGTGAGTTGGGAATGTAGTGCCCAACTGTCAGAATAATTTTTAAAACTGCAAACAAAAAACAGCTAAAGAGAGAAGTGCTATGCTCTGCAAAACAAAGTACAGATCTTTCAGAAATTAGTTTTAATTGTAATAGCAACTGGAAGTATCTCGTGACGGCAAAACACAGCAAGACAGTACAGTTATGGTACCTGTGGCACAACATCAAAGGCACAGCACGATTTTACAGCCTGCTATTTCTGCCTTGCAGCACTCAGCCAAACGGCAGGGCCCTGTGTCCTGCGCTCTGGTTGGCATCTGTCTAATCTCTCAATGACTGTGAGCGGAAGATACATATATCATGTCGGTAACAATGTAGCTTCTACTTTTTTTGCCATGTTTCCTCTCACTTACCGCAAACCTCTTTCCACAGCTCTTGTTACCGCAGCATCCACAGCAATCATTATTCTTAAGGCCCAAAAATACCAAGGCAGGAAAGATCATCTACCAATAACAGAAATATATTTTGAATTGGGATGAGTTCAAGTTATATTTGCTTTTAAATATAATAGTTCTATGTCTTTTTTTTTATCATATCGCTAAATTACTTATTGCAAAACTGTTGGATAACTTGTAACTCATTTGTTTATTGAAGAAGAATTTGCAATATTGGAACCTGCATTTGAGGCACTGAGGAAATTCAACAATGCAAAGTCACGGTGTGGGGGGGGGGGGAAACGGTGGGAATGTCCGAATTTATATACTCACCAATACACCAGATCCCACGATCCCTCCGAAGTACCAAACCTCATCTGTAATGTGTAGATGGTCTTCAACCACTGTTCCTCCCGGGAAAAACAATAAAATGTTAGCGAGGGTACACAGCACAGCCAGGGGAATGAGAGTGGTTCCCAGGCACTTAGCACAGCCTCCCGTGCACATGATTTTTCGAAGAAACGGCAAACACAATTAAAGGCAGAAGGAAAATCTCTCAGATATTCTCAGAACTGTTTTCTAAAAAGGAGCTTCTCGGTGTACTTTATAAAATTCGGTTTCTGCTGTGCCTTTAGATGAGCTGAGCCTGTAGAATTGTCCCCTCGGAGATGTTGCTGCAGTTGATCAGAAGTGCAGTGTGCTGGTTATTTATACATTCTCGCAGCCATGATGTCTGTAAATGAAATTACGTTCAGTGCAGCCTCTCATTTTCTATGACAACCAATAACCTCGGTTAATATTTTACTAATGTGGATGAGACATTTCATTATCTGGGCTCAGGTCATGAGTAGATATCCTTCTTAGTTCTGGATCATCATTTTTACAACACACTGTTCTCCTTCACACTACAAAATACTTCTTTGTAAAGATGAACATGAAAACACATAATGAATCAGCTGATGTTAATAAAGTTCTAGTGAATTTTCTTTTCTTTGAGAAAGTTGAGCTAGTCATTTGTTATTTTGAAGCACTCAGACAATTCATAGATTTGCAGTAGGTAGTGAATTATTATGGAGGCGGTGCATCGCAGCTGGTATCTCTGAATAAAGACACATTATCAGAAAAGTTTCAGTGGACTTGTTCCTTATGGCATGTCATTTCCTGTTCTCTAAGGATAATGTGCTCCCTCAAAGCCCAGCTTTTCATCTGTGCACAGGCAAAATTTCCACTTAACATGACACTGCATGTGGCAGACAGACTCCTGAGCCCGAACAGAGCCTCTCTGGCTTAGCAGGAACATTTTGTTCAAGCAAGCACCTCTTCCAAAGCAGGCTCTGCAGCTCTCTGAGAGGTACTGGATACCTTCTCTTTCATGTTTAGACTTGGTCTGTAGACCTTGCATTAGGATGATTTTCACACCGATCTTCACTCCTAGCAAATAAAAATAGATGCAATTCCATTACCATCCCTGTGTGGATGTGAGAATTCCCTGTATTTTGAGACAGACAACAGTTTCCACTTTGCTCAGAGGGTAAAGCTCAGGAAATTTTCATTCAAATTTGAAATAGACCTTCTTTTAAAGATGTTTGAGGCTTCATTTTGATCCATATCGTGGATCTCTGCTGAGTCTTCAAAGACAGGCATCCTGGAAACATCAAAAACTTTACCTTGTACGACCACAAAATCCCATGAAGTGCATGGTATTGAACTGTCCAAAGCTGTCTCGAACTGCCCAGAGCTATGGCTTCAGGTTAAGCGGTGATGTTGAATAAGCTGATTTTCACAGCCACCCTCCTTATAGAAATGACACAGCTGGAAGAAACCCAAGTCACTGTTTGTCTGGAGTAACTCTGGTTCATCACAAGCCACACCAACAATTGCTCGGGTACAGGGAAGTGGGCAGAGCAGCGACAGGGACATCCTGAGCCACCACTGATGCTTCAGTAACATAGTTGGCACCAGAGCCTGGGCCTGTCAGCTTTAGCTTCCTTGCAGAAGCAGAAGGATATAAAGCAGTTTTATCAGACCGGAGGGCCAGACCTAATGTTTTTAGGCAAATATCTTTTCAAGGTGGTAGTAGAAATACTAGAAATCCTGTTTAAATATATATGCAATTCTTGTAGTTGTGAGGTACAGTTGGAAGGGTTGTCAGATTGTGAGAGGGCTCTCAAGTGCATTTTTTTCCGGAAGGTACAAATAGCGTTGAACACAGACAGCTACTGTCTGTGGTAGATAGTGTGTTTGGAGTTCTGCTGTGAAATAGGCATCAAACTTACAGAAAATTAGTTACTACTTATCTAGATGTGGCACTGGGGACACTCCTGTTGTTCTCAGTAGCTGAACTCTTTCTAACTTCAGGCAGAAAGGATCACGGTCTCGGGGTTTTTTTGTTAAAAAATGAAATTTTGAAACTCATTTTCATGTCAGACTTAAGACTAGAATTTTGAGCTTTGTGTTTCCTTCAGGGAGCCGGCGCTCAGACTAAGAAAATTATCACAGTATGATTTAATCTTTGCAGGTAAAAAATCAGCTCACTTATTTACTATGTGCTCACTTGGCCTTTAGTGGAGCAATTTCTACCGAGAAATCTTACTTTTTCCGGAGTGTACGTCTCTATATACTAGGAACCAACTGGGCAAATGCTAAAGGCTCTCAGGTTCTTTGGTGGATTGATTGATAATCACATCTTTCTGATATGTCTTTTATTGCTTTAATTAAAATAAGTATTTGCATAGATCAAGGCAAGTAGGAAATACTCACTGAAAGTTTTTATTATTGAGAATTTATGGAACTCCTAGTACCAGCTGCTAAAACAGATTTGAGTGGCTTGGGGAGTAAAAATGGTAGTTCATTTACAGAAGGACCACTAAGGAAAAATAGCACTGTGATTCAGAATCCTGTGCAATATTTGGCAACTCCTCTGTTAAGGAGTCTCTCTGGAGTATGTGTCTCAGAAGAAGGCTGCGAGAAAAGATTGTGTTGTGAGAAACAAACAAAAAAAAGTAAATCTGGACTGAGGTCAAATTATGTAAAAGCAAAGGAACTAACTTATTTTTGTGTAATCATACTGAATTCTTCAAATGAGCTCCACATGCTCATAGAAAAGATAGATGAAAAGCCAGTGGGGCTGCCCAGCAGTGTTGTTGATGTCCCCAAATCATCTCTGGTCGGAGATGTTGGGTAGATGAAATTTATTGACCAAAATGGTGAGTAGAGCCGAATAAATCTGTCTCACCGTTTACCTTTATCTGACCTTGTCTGGGTACAAATACTTAGGGAACAGTCTTTTGATGTGATTTGTGAATGATTGAAGGTGGATGGACATAGGTGTGCTTGGTCTGACGTATCGAGTTATCAAGACTGAGTGAAAATGAGAGTAATGAGTCTGGGTTACTTGACTCCTATTACCAGGAAGCCATGCTTTACAATGGTACCATAGCTGTATTTAGCTTCTCTTCCTATTTTGTACTCCGTGGAAGACTCTGCTTCCTGGAAAACGAGCTGAAAAGCTACAGAGTACTCAGCAAATGCACTGCTAGTCGTCTTTGGCCTCAGTATCTAAGAAAATCCTAATGAAGCTGGTAACTTAGGAACTGTTACTTAGAAAGTTTGTACTCTGCCTGACTTGTGAGGCTGTTCCCGAAGGTCAATAACACTGCAACAACGTCACTCAGTGTGACTATTACTGATTCTGTTCTCTGTTTGATAACTGTGAAAACCATTATGATGAGGTGAAGATATCAGTATTGCTCAGAAGATGCAGAAACTGGGGAGGGAACAGGAAAAAAGACATATCTGAACTAGACGTGAGCATTTGGAGATTATCCCTCTTTTACCTGTTTTGGAATTTTTAATTCTTAAATTACAAAACATCAGCAAAAATCTAAGACATTGTAAAAGTCTGTGAGGTGGGATAATATTTGTAAAAATAAGTGAAGCACCAGGTAGAGACTACATTAAGTCCTAAAATCACTAGAATTGCAGAATGCTGAAATCAGCTTTTTGTCCTTTTAAAACAGAGAGAAAAACAGTAATGGGGTCAAATCCATCTCTTTTTCCACCCCAACTTATCTAGAACCACAGCACTGGTTTCAGTAGGAGTAGGTCAGGTTCACGTGGGGATGCATTTCACATCAGAATAGATCAGATCCGTATCTCAGTCCTATTCAGCTTGTCACACACAGTTAAGGTGGCCCGTTTATAAAAACGCAAAGCAAGAAACCAAACAGATCAATCTCTCCAAAACTGGTCTTAGGGAATTTTTCTTTCATATAGGTAAAAATTTATTTGCTCTTGTAGGCAGCATGTCCTCTTGTTTTATGACCTGCATGCTGTACACTGACTTTGTACAGTGACATTGCACTTTGGTATGAAAGACCTTTTATGAATCGCATGCGACAGAGGTGAACGTTTTATCGTTTGTTTAGCTACACACATGACACACCTGTGTCATTCATTCAGCTGCAGCATACGGAGTTTTCCAAGTGAGTTCTGTGCAAGTTTTCATGTCTAACAGTGGTGTTAGGAGGTGTATAAAATTTGCCATTAAGCTCAGCTCAGTGGCAGTACCTCTCATTTGGCATTCTGTCTTTAACAAGAACCCGCATCAAAGGTCTTGCAGGTGGCAGCTTTCTGTTGGATACATACCTATTAGAGAATAAAGGCAGCCGAGTTTTGCTCTTTTTTTTTTCTTATTAACTAACTGACACGTTAGTTCTTTTGCAACTACATATTCATAGTCCAAATTCTTCTTACAGGTCATGAGATGGTTCTGTAATGGAAATAGTAGCTAAACCAGCTGATACAAAGATGGCAACATAAGCTGTTTGGAGCAGCATAAGCTGTTTGGGACACCTTTGGAAAGCACGGCCCTTTGTGTCCCACTCTGCTCAGCCAGAGTACTCACCTCTGTCGGGCTCTGGGGCTGCCCGCTGCCAGCTGCACCACGCAGCCCGTGTCCTGTCTCAGCTAGGAGCTGGACACGCCGCTCCTCCTCCTCACGGAACGAACACTGTTGGAGGCATGGCTGCTGGTCGTTAGTCAGGCCCCTAAAGGAGAGAGGAGCATCTGGTCCCGTGTGTGCAAAAGCATCGTGCAGATGACTGCTGAAGAGAGCCTTTTGAAAGGCTCGTGCTCGTAAACTTGATGTCTCCTTCCAAGAACAGCTGTTATGCAACAGGAAAGCAGATGGAGAAACAAATGAAGAAGGTCCTGACTGACAGCACAGTCTACGTGTGGACTTCAGCGAGATGTCAGAGTTAGGCCAGTGTAAGCGGTTTTCGTGGCTTTCTGCAGCCTGCTATTGCTGCTGTGGCAAAGATTCACGACTTGAAAACTTCCATACTTCACCTGATACGTGAAAAAGACTTTCATGACATTCCCATTGCACAGACAGCATCTGTAATTTGGCTCCCAGTTATAGCATAGGAATTCACTAACAGGCATAAGGAAAATATTTGCTGTAGCTGGAACATAAATCTTTCTTGGTTTTTTTTTCCCCTTCTCTGTCAGACTAGAATGTGGCTTTTTTGCAGTTGTGAATCCTGACTTTTAGTAAGGGGAAAAGGTTAAAATTGTATTGCATCCAGCACCCTGATGTCCTGATTGACTGCAAGTGGCTCAAAGACAGATGCATCTACCAGGCTCTTGCCAGGCTTTCAA